TGGATTATTGGCCTTCACACTCTGCAATTTGCCGTGCAAGACCACCCATTCCTGTGTATTACTGGGTTTAAATGTCACACCTTTGCGACCTAGGGATGGTGTGCGGCTGACCGTTTAGTCAGAAGAAATTTTGTGGGCTCGTCCTCTTTGTGGCCAGCGCTCCTTCAAATTTCGCCTATTCCGATGCTTTTATTGCTGGTTGAGACCTTTCTGCTACTCGCATTGTCAGATTACAATTCTCTCTGGCAAATATAGGACAAGTTCAGTCATCTCCAGTGGTCATCATGCATACGAGTGCTTGTTATTTCACGGCCTCGCCGTCCACCCCTCCCTCCCTCCCTCCCGCAAATGTGACATTGCACCTCTCGTTTTTTGTGTTGACAACTCCGCGGTGTACAGCCTTGTTACTTTCAGGGTCATTGAATGACATTGCCTCTGATAGCCTCTGGCTCCATAATACGTGATGGTTTGCACATTAAAACCTTCCTCACATCAAGGCGTGTGGTCTCCGGGGTGCTGCACTATTACATCCTACTTTTAATACTTATGATGATGAATTCAACAAATTTTCACCCCTCCGTAATGCCCCACCCATATAACCTCCATTATAACCGGTCCCGTATTACAGAATTCTGGGGTTTTGCTTGCTGTGGTGATTGTATTAAACTACCTCTACCTCTTCGCATGTCATGCAGAAAGTTCGATACATGAAAAACTTTTGGATTTTGAAATTGGTTAAGTTTTTCCAAAGTGTTTTAATAAAGCAGTTCGGTATTTGTTTAGTATAAATACTCGTGGCAATGAGAAAACAAAGTCATGGCGAATATGGCATTTACTTTTTATAGTAAGGACACGACAGAGCCTGACAGACAGCCAGGCTCCGTCTTCACCATGTCAACCCACTTATTCAGTTGACAGCTTAGATGCTGTCGCTATCCAGTACCTCATACAAGTGAGCTGGCGTCACAGAAGCCTTCTACCTCAGAGCAGCTGAGAACTTAATCTGATAATTGTCTGGTGAATGCTCGTTGTTTGGTTTCGAGACTCTCTCGTCCCGATCTTCCTTGGGGCTCACTCTCGAGTCCCCTCAACAGCCACACGGTGGCTACTGTTATAGGCAGATGAGCATTGCCGACAAAGACAAGGGAGACTGGGATGGTCACTTCTGGCTCATCGGCCAGTCATACCCAATTCTGGGTGGTGCGCCATCCGAGGCTCGAATCTGCGACCTTTTGCTTAGACGTCC